CCAGCTTGCCGCAAGGCCTCTTCCTGTGCACAAACACAGAAGAACGCACATACGCACACGGACCCCAACATTCTTACCCTGAGTGGGATTCAAGGCCACGATCCCGGCTTCCGAGCGAGCGAAGCCTTAGACCGCCCGACTACCGTGACTGGCCTTTGCAAGATTAGGTGAAGCAAAAAGAAGGTATCATAATTAATTTTTAAGAAAAGAAACTAAGTATAACGTAAATGACGGCCAAGAAGTTGTAACTTAAAAACTTGCTCTCACATGTAGAGTTCCATGCTATACTTTCCGAATGGAGTACGTTAAGAACCTGAGCTCAGTTAATTTTGGAAGTTCTAAGATGAATTCCAACACGTATAACATTTGATCTACTAAGGAAATGTGAAATACACAGAAGGGAGAGAAAACACAAAATGAAGTTATTTAGTAAGAAACGTGCAAATAATCTGAAGCAGTAAGAATATGAATTATATATGATTCATTTAATTTTTCGAAACACTTTCTGAAGTCTCACAATTTTCTCATGGGGTCATAATAAGGCTATTGATTATGTGCTCCTTTCTATCGTATAGCAGACACTGAGTGTTAGTTTAAAACAAAACCCCCACACAATGAGCCATTCTACCATGAAAAATATCTCTTTCCTTGTCTTCACATTCGCATGAATAACAACCCAACCCCTGCAATTTGCCAGCTTTTTACCCCGAGGCAACGAGCTGTGTCGTGTTAAATTAACATTGGTTATTATAAAATGCAAATGTAACCGTGATTCAATTTCCTTACCGGAATAGAGCTATTAAAATAAATCACAGAACTTGGTCTTGTAACTACTTAAATATTATTAGTTGTTATCAATATTTAATAACTGCTAGGTGATATTATGAGTTTCTGAATCGGTACCAATTAAATGTTTTTCTTTAATTAGTCCTTTAAAGCCCACTATTTGCTAAGTATACCACCTACTTTAATATTAAGGAGCTCTGTCTTTTATCCGTGGAGTGTCTTTACGGGTTCTGCACGATTCTCAGAATAAACAGAGATTAGTTTCCAATCAGATGCTGAGATGCAGCCTTTTAGTCAGATAGGAACTGATTTTGTAAATATTACTTAGATGGTTTCAAGGCCTCAAAAGGTGAATAAAGGTCAACATGATTTTATTTTAATGCCCATTGCATCACTGGCTCTTGAATTATCACCAGTGATGAGACAAGGAAATTAAAGGAAGGAAACATAATGTTGGCAGGAACAATGGAATAGTAAATGAATGTAATTATTCCTAACAATAATTTACAAAATTTAGAACAAAATAGACAATTAGCAGAATACTTCTAGGGCATTCTGGAATCAGTATTTCATTACACACAAAACAGAACTCCGAGTTATACTCACATAGAATTGTCACAGGTTAGTCTGCATAACAGCCATTTCGCTATGCTCAGACTCAATGTTCTCCTCTTCCTTAGGCCTTTCGGTTTCTTCTTGAAAACCTAATAGTCACTCAGCAAGTCCAAAAATTTTCTGCTCTTTATGGAACCTAAAGGTCCATTACCGTGTTCACAAGTGCGCGTCACTGAACACTGTCCTAAGTCACATGAATCCATTCTATTCCATTCATATCTGATTCTTTAAAATCCATGTTATTATTATCTACCATCTACGACTGGGTCTTTTAAGTTAACTTCTTCCTTGAAGGCTTTCCGACTATAACTGTATACATTCTTCATCTCTGTCTTGCGTCGAATCTATTCTATGCTTCCAATTCTCCTTTATTTTATCCTCCTTATAAGAATATCCGCACACATTTTAAACCTAATCGTTATGCCATTTTCTTCTGCATACCAATTTCCTCTATGGCTAAATACGCGTATTTTCCTAAGGACCTTCACATATTCCAAACTTATTTAAAGACAGGGCTTGATATCTGCTTCGCTTTGGTTTCTTGCTGGCTTATTCTTCTACCCCAAAGTCGAAGGCGACATGTTCCTCCGAAACGTCCGTTTTATTTCAACAGACTACATATCGTTATGTGCCATATGACAGAACTAATCATAATATTTTTAAACTTTAGAATTAATAAAAGATTGAACTTGCCATAAATGCTATGTTATGCTCACATTTCGTAAATTAATTTCTATGGAACTGAACATTTTGAGGCAAATACTCGTATAACCTTTCATTTTCTCACTGAATCCATCATGTCTTAACAGGGAAACCTACAAACATCAGAACATGGATAGTCCCGGTATGGCCAACGGCGTCTTGTGCTTAGAGTATTGTCACGTGTTGGGTGTGTGACAAGCAACAAATAACTTCACGCCGTCTTGGATATAGCGAATTTATTCCACTCGCTCTTACAGTTGCACAATTTACAGTTTCACAACTACCGCCATCTGCAGTATCACACTTACTTCTCCTGCTGGAGTCACTGCCATTCACTCGATTCAACTCAATAACAATGGACTTCAACTCACTCCGGCGAATGCTAAACTGCAACTCACTGGTTACTCCCTCTCACTGACGAATATTCCTGTTATCTAGCTTCCGCACTGACAACACAGAAAACAGTTACGCGATAGCTTTCGCTGTTGCGTGACGTCGTGTTTACCGATTGCCTAGCAACAGTCGCTGCACGGGCTCCCCTGTTGCGTGACGCCGTGTTTACAAAGGCGTTGCTGGGTTACGCTGCGTAGCAACCAGCGCGCTTCGGCTCAGCTTGGCTCGGCACGGCACGGACAAACACGACTTTCCTTACTCTTGAGTAACTTGGTAACCGACCGTTTATCAAGGGTCTGTCTTCGTGGTAACTCGTTCCACCTCCCGTTGCCCAGCAACGGTTAGACATGTCACAGTATTTTAAGCTCTTATCCAGACACAGACGTATTACATACGTTATCTCCTTCCGCGTTTTATTTATGAACTAGCGTATTTTGTTCCTCTATGTCAGTGTTCCGCAACCTTTTTCTACTCGCGGCACACCATGAAGTATCCATGACTCAACAAGGCACACAAAATGTTGTTGCCCTCAGAAACACATTATATAAGACAATTAATATAAATACATAACGTGATCAAATTATTATTATTATTATTATTATTATTATATTGTTATTTTATTGTCATTAAACAGAAATCGACTCGTGCATTTATTAACAATTAATGAACTTTAATTCACTGTAGAGTGTAGAAAATACACTTCTATTACTATTAAAGTAAATACAGTAATTCTACTCATACCTTCAATGTGATACTTGCGCCTGCGTAGCTGCACACAGGCGACTGATCCGTGGTGGAATCGTTGACAACGCAAGTCTCATTTCTTCATCGATGGATTTGAGCCGCTCCCTCTTTGATGTCTTAATTTCAGTTAACGTCGAGAAGCCCAGTTCACACAAATATGTAGTTGAAAATGGCAATAACACATTAACTGCCATCTCGGAGATAGCCGGGTATCCACTCCTTATTGCCAACCAAAACGTATCCAAAGGCACTTCGAGAAGTTTTAGTTTCAATGTTCTGTCTGCTTTTAAATCTGCGAGTTCCTCTTGTATATTAATCGGAAGATGTTCTGAATTCGCAACGAATGGATCATGAACCCAGTCGAAATCTTGTACACTCTCTCCAAAATACTTATTGAATTTCTGCTGCAGCATTTCTAAATGTTCTTTAATTGTGTCCATCACCACTTTATTGCCGTCAGCAAGTGGCCATACAGTCGGGGACATCTCAAACGACCCATCTGTAATTCTCTAACTAGCAACCAAAATTTGCGAACTACTTCAGAGCACAGCTGTGATAGAACTGAAACAATTGTAAGACGCGGAACCTCTACTCTTCAAACGGAAGAAGTGACACATATACCTACTTATTTTTTAAATATTTATAATTTTAAATGAAGTCCAACAATCGGTGGGTGCATCGTTATAGGCAGAAAGTCATAAAGTTGAAGAAGCTCTAACTTCTAACAAACAAGGGCAAACACCAAAACAGAGTTATAAAAGACAGGGCAACCCTTGCTAATCCCTACACTTTTAGGGAAAAGCACGTACACAGAACATGCGGCAAGCATATCAAAGAAGCTGCGTAGATGCGAGAAAAATAAAAATAAATTAATAATGAAAACTATGATATAACAACAACTGTAAGTAAATAATTTACGTTTAATTTCTTAGAATACAACATTGCTGAACATAAAAAATCACAGCATGTAATAAAGAATAAACAAGCATCATCTTATTTAATCAGTGCAGTGGCTGAGAATAAAATACAAGTATATGAAACGTGGTAACTGGGATAAAATAAAACGAATAAAATTCGAAAATTAATTTCTCACAGTAAGTAAAAGTTCGCGTCACACTTTTCACCTTGTGACGGCACACCGGTTNCAAACAGGGGCAAATACCGAAACAGAGTTATAAAAGACAGGGAAACCCATGTTAATCCCTGCACTTTTAGGGAAAAGCACGTACACAGAACATGCGGCAAGCATATCAAAGAAGCTGCGTAGATGCGAGAAAAATAAAAATAAATTAATAATGAAAACTATGATATAACAACAACTGTAAGTAAATAATTTACGTTTAATTTCTTAGAATACAACATTGCTGAACATAAAAAATCACAGCATGTAATAAAGAATAAACAAGCATCATCTTATTTAATCAGTGCAGTGGCTGAGAATAAAATACAAGTATATGAAACGTGGTAACTGGGATAAAATAAAACGAATAAAATTCGAAAATTAATTTCTCACAGTAAGTAAAAGTTCGCGTCACACTTTTCACCTTGTGACGGCACACCGGTTGCTGAACACTGCTCTATGTGACTAAAATAAACATTTGGCATATGTATTTTTGTTACTGGCATCTGTGATTCTGATATATGCTTTTAGATCGTCTCCAAAAGTTTCTTATGATAATTATTTTCAGTACACAAGTAGTGTAACATTGGAGTGCTGCAAATTCAGACTTTTACCTCGTCCTTTTTTATTATTATTACAGACGAGGAAAGCTGGATCATCTTCAGATTCTGGATGGGTTACTGAAGAAAGACTACGACCGGCGGGCGACACCCACCAACCATCTCAGTGAGTAAACCGTCCTGACAATCTGAGTACTCTATTTGTATGAACGAACAGAGGTCGTATAGAACAGAGATTTGTAGTATTCTTACTTTTGCATGTCATACGTGTATATTCCAAGCTTTGATATTTGAATGAATGGGCATTGATTTCTTCTTACACGTTTCGCAAAAGCATAGGATGGGAGAGAACAGCCTGGTGTACTCATATTTTATTCAGGGAGAAAAACTGAATGGGTAATGATGATGTTTACATATCACACGGGAGATCACTTCGAGGAGAAGCGTTTATAGGTCTTGAAAGGAACGCCGTATAAGTGAGCATCATCTACTTTTATAACCTATGCATTTATGCACGTGAGCAGCTATGTTCTGCATAACTCTTCTGGTTTAAATTGCAAAACCTGTTATTTCGCCATTAAACTTACCTACATAAATCTTGAATGTTTTTTTTTTGTCTTTTATAGTAGACTTTACGTTAAGTACCCTGACATTTTGAACAAGGGATATGTTCAAGTTTTGAATTGAGGTTAAGTTAGATGAGGTTTCTAAGGAGTGACATTCATAAGCGAATTGCATGGGAGTTTCGAAACATGGTTGCTTATAAACACATGTATGTCCTTATAACATTATAAATTCGCACAGATATCACTTCAACAGTTGCGCCATTTTCAGTTGAAGAAAAGTAAGTCCCAAGAAATGGAACAACGCAATGAGTCAAGTCGAGCATGTAAATTTCGTCGGTGGAAATTCTCAGAACACTTTTCTTTCCAGAATCGCGTGCTCTCTTCCTAGCTATATGCCTTGAATGAACATCATCTGACATGGTAAGGCTCTCAGTGAGCCCAGTAGATTCCTCAAACATTCGAAGAAATTTTTCACAACACCATATATTTCTTCACTTCTCATCTCCACTACGTTTCATAATTATCTCAGAGAGATAGGATCGGAAGGTTTGGATATGGCTCAGGATATGAACCAGTGGAGGTCTCTTGTGACCATTGTAATGAACCTTCGGGTTCCATAAAATTCTGGGAAATTCTTGAGTAGCTGCAGAATTGGCGGCCTCTCAAGGGGGGCTCAGCTCCATGAGTGAGTGCTGTTCTATAATTATTTTAAGTGTGGAAGGAAACGTGTGCAAATCACCGGTGAGCATGGTTCAAACGGGACTGGAAGCCTATGACAGTCTTTATGCCTAGCGGAGGAAACTGGATCGTGCGCGCGAAAGCTTTTGAGTCGTCCTAGATTAGGTGTGGCTTGTAACCTCGGCATTAGAGCTCCTAGCGGGTGTGAATATTGTGGTCCAGAACAAATATTTCTTAATTGTAAATTTCCTATTATCCTGAAAGATGAGCTGAACTTCAGATAAAGACATGAATCTTTACTCCCTAGATATTCATCCACTTCTCTATCTCAGTGAACCTTCCACGTGTTTTTCAAAGCATGGAGCAATACAAAAATAACATTAATTTTCAGCATTCCAAGAGCTAGGATGCCTCATTTTGCATAATGACGGGCTACAAGCTGGACGGCAGGGGTTATATCCCCGACAAGGACAGGAGATATTTTCTTCTCCATAACGTCCAGCCAGGGTATGGAGCCCACACAGCCTCCTATAAAATGGGTATCGGGGGCCCTTTCCACAGGAAAAAGGCGGCCCCACGGCGTGGTGCTTAATTCAGTTACCAAATTTCATATTATATATGAGTTTTAAATAAATTAGATATACCTCGCAAAACATGCTGTCCCCTTCTTTACATTCTTCTCAGAATTCAAAATATCCCATTCTAAAAGCCCCTTATTTTGTTTCTAGATAGAAAATTTTAATGCTAGTAGCCTGTGGAATTTATCGCTTCATTTCAATTTTGTAATTATATACATATACAGAATGTCCTGGGAGGAAATGTCAATATTCTGGGAAGTCGTCGTATCGGTCGTTTTAAGCAAAAAATTGTATATGTACATGTGTCCCTTTCCGAACGGTTTCCGAGATATGACTATCTCGCTGTAACGTTCTAAAATTGTTGTCAAGAGAGAAATATTACGTACTGTTTCTAATACCGGTATTTATTATTCAGGTGACAAAATTTATACAGTTTACCTAGCATTCGTATTTTGGAAAATTCCACTGTCAACATCAGTGCACATTCAAACTCGTGTGAGGACAGACGTGTTGCTCGTCTGAACGCATCTGGGTGTTCATTAATGCGGGAGATAATATGAAATAGCTCTATGTTGGACACCGTTCGGAAGAGGACACATGTACGTATATAATTTTTTGCTTAGAATGAACGATATGACCTCCCAGAATATTGAGCCTTCCTCCTGGGACACTGTGTGTGTGTAATGTATATATATATACATCTATACCCATGCTGTAGATAAGTTCAAGTCTCTTAAAGATATGTAAATGTTTTTTACTGAAATTATTACAGCAAAAATATTATTATAAGTAGCTGACAATTGTAGCGTTTCAAATAAATATAGGAATTAACTCTTACCTTTTTTTCGCTTAGCTGTCGCCGATCTTTTTTGCTGTAGCTATTCCATTAACACCTCAGGATTTAAGCCACAGAACATATGCAATGCGGCTTGACATACAGCGTCTGAAAGTTGAAATCTCAGGCTAGCCTACCAGTGTAGTAGTCACGCGTGAAATTTTATGTTTTTCCCATGTTTTAAATTACTAATATATAAAAACCCCACATATATCATTTCCTTGGCTTGGAAATTTGAGTCACTTGCAGCATATCGCTTAGAAGTGTATATATTTTCCAATGTATGTTCTGAAATTCTGAGAAAGTATTACAGATATTACATGTAATTTATATTTCATATTCATTGAGACACGAAATCCGTGTTGAGAAATATAAGTTCGTAAATATTTGAACACCTTGCCTCTTTTATATTTTATGAGGTACTGACAGTTGGATTTATTATATTGTCTACAATTACAGTACGTATTTATTTAATGAGTTTGTGAATAAAGTTTTGAAGGACACTGTGCACAGACGAAATATAGACGTAATACTGTATATGCAACAATATTTTTGTCTCAAGCACCGTCAGTTGCATAACATCTCGTACGTTCTTTCCATTACGTGTATGTAGCATGTAATAATCGTTTTGCTCTCAATTCACTTAAGGATTCGAGAGGGGGGACGGGTTGCATTGTTATAAATACACAAGCAGAATGCTTCTGAAATTGTATTTTTTGTTTCACTTCCCTGAGTGCTCCTTTTTGCTTCGGGACACATATAAAAATAAGCTTTCTGTGAAGATTAATGAAACAGGCGACGCTTATATTGGACGAGTGTCGTCACCAGATAATTCTGAATCCAGGAGTCGCCTTATTGTGTCTCGTGTTCAGACGGGGAGGGTGTTCGTGCTGGTTGTCTATCCTTTCGCAGTTTTTGCTGACTCTGATTATCTTCCAGAAGAGAGAAAACATATTTTAGGCCCTTCTTTGCTTAATTTTGATTAGTTACTTCGTGACATCATATGTGTGTGTGTGTGTGCGAGACAGTGCGTGCGTGACTAGGTGTGTGTGTTTTTCAGTCAATTGTCCTCTGAAATTTCCGTTTTCATTGCGACAATGATTTTTTTTTGCGAATCGTGGAATTTGTAATATTGCCTTGTGCGTTACGCAGAACACAGAAATAGACCTATACAAGTATTTCAGAAGTAGTAGCATGCTCCATAAATCCTTATACTGTACAGTGCATTTGCATTCACTTCTTCCGGACAGGTTTATTGTAACTTTAGCTTCGCTACTCCGACATTTGAATAAGTGAGGGCGATGAAGTTTTTATTGCTGCTGTTGAGAGGCCTACTGAAATTTACAGTGACGTGATTAGCATCATACTCCGGGTTCCTAGGGTTCAAATACAGCTGTCCTGATGAAGGACTTTCATGATTTACCTTCTTCTCTGCAGACCACTAGGCATGTGTGTATGTATCCACATCAGCATTCACAACTTCTGCTACCATTCTCAACCTCCATGCTGCCTAGGTAAATCAGACGTGAAAGGTAAAGGTAACGCTTTTTCCTATAAATAATGACGTACCGTTACATTACGACATATTGCTAGTGAAGGTATTTTTCCCCCTTGGCACTACAGCCCCAGTGGGCCTTGGCCTACCTCCATGAACTTCTCCGTTCACTTCGGTTTTTTTAGATCTTACACATTCGGTAGGACGCCTTGGGCGGGTGATCAGCTCGTCGCAAGGCCTCTACCTGTAGACAAATACAGAAAAACGCACACACACAAACTAAACATCCATGCCCTGAGTAGGATTCCAACCCACGATCCCGGTTTCCAAGCGAGCGAAGACAGTACATGCCTTAGACCACTCGGCTACCGTGACCGGCTAGTGAAGGTATAGCTCCATATAAGAAGCAGATGAGTTGTCAGCTTCAGGTTCACGGCCGTTTTACCCTCGGGAATGAAGCTCACCAGTACACATCGGATAGAAGGCTGGGTGAGCCCCAGAGCTGGACTGGATATTTTGGAGAAAATAAAAATCTCTTATCCATGTTGTCAGTAGAACCCTATTTCCTCGGTCGTCCAGCCCGCAGCCTGTTCTCCATACCAATTAGGCTATCTCGGATCCTAAATCAGTTACTAGAGCAAGGATCAGTCAATTAATTAATAATTCTGGTGCAGGGAGCATAACCTGTGATGCATATTAGATCCTTTGATCTGCAGAGCGATATTTCGTCAGACAGATCAACGTGACATAGCAGCACGGCTAATTGCATCGCATATGTGCTGTTGCGAACCCATCCCTTAGTTCTACTAAGTAGGGCGTCCTACTGTATGCTCTGCACAAAGTAAGCATTTCTTGTTCCGGATTTCAACAACTAGAAAATCATAAGAACATTATAGGAAACAAGTATTGTTGCTCTCAACTCTGACGTATTACACGATCCAGGTGAATGTACCTTGTCCAGAGATGTATGTTCCTTACATCTGTCTGTATATCCTTAGTATTTTAAAATTAAAA